GAGACTGAACTTCGTCTGACCTCTACCCATTGACCTTCCAGGTATGATAAAATCTCCTGACTTTATAATCCCATCCTGTGTTGCTCGTTGGGTCACAGAGGTGCACAAGCCATCACACAACGTCAAGGTGTAGTCTCGTAGCGATACGCAATACGTGCCCCAGCCAGCGAAATCCACTAATCTGAATTCGGAGTGCCAGTAGGTTTATACCTGACAGACTCCCAAACACACGAAGGCTTACCTGCAGACTACTAACCCGTTCGCTAAGCTGCGTAAACACCGATAATCAAAAACCTATAGTCATCGGATATCTTCTACTCGCAAATTCAAGGTCTAAAACCCATACAGCAGAACTGAACGAACGCCGGCGCAACACACTACCTTTCAACTTCAGTGAAACGTCGCGTCTACGCCAAAGGTGTTTTAGTCCTGCGTATGCTGCTCGAGCCTAAGAAATGCGGGAAGTTATCTCTTTTGCTGGGCTACCGTCATTGGTCACGCAGATGCCTAAGTAGGAAAAATAATCCACTACAACTAAATCCTGGCCATTTAGTTTCAGAGTGGGAGCAGGCGAAATACAGGCCTGCAGCATCACTTTGACGGCGCAAAGCGCATACCGAATGTGGCAACTGCACTTGTCAGTCTATCCAGTGTGCTTTGCGCGTCCTCTATACGTTCAACCAGACAGACGACGTCGTCGGCGTACTCTAAATCTCACAGCTTTTCTCCAGCTGTCCATTCAATACCGACGTTTTGGAAACCACTAAGTTCCTTAGCATTTCGTCTGCGATAAAATTGAACAGGAACAGCGGAAGAGAGCTCCCTTGACGAACGCCGCTGCTGGTGATGAATGGCCTATTTAGTTCATCATACACCTTTACATGACCATGCGAGTACAGTGACCTCACTACAGACCAATGAAAAAGATGATCGGAAACTTTCATGACCAGTAGAATAAGGAAGTGAGAAATTTGTGTGATGCGGAAAACTGATTCAACTACGTACTTTTTAGCGATTGTTTCCGCAGTGCATCCCATCAGTTTGCCACAAAATGCGTCCGTGAGCCCGTCGTGCATCACGGTATCGATCAGACGAAAGTCACCCAAATGAGGCAAACCGGCACTGTTTTGCATGCCACCACGTCGCAAACTGCATCCGGCCGGTGTGGCATGGGGAGCCTGACTCATTGACTCCTGGCCGCCGGCAATAATCCAGCCACCGTCACTGGACAAAATCTTCAGTCGATCGTAGGCTAGACAAACAGCTTTCAAACCCGACCCACAAATCATGTTCACATTCCAAGAAGGTACTGAGAAAGGAATTCCTATGAAACATCAAAAAGAAACATGCTTGTAATGAAGACTTATTTCAGTATTATGTAAATGAGTTAAGTAGTGATTTCATAATTGCAATGGATGGATAATGCGTATTGCTCACGCTGACATATTGACGATAACCTTATGCGAATACCCTCCCTCGCTCAAATAATTGGGTCCAGAAATATTCACCGTGCCTCACAACACTGCATTGAGTATTGAGAATTTCACTGAACGAGCGTGAATCTGTATTCGTAAGAAATGGCTATTCACTATCACGCAAGGAAGTGAACTGATAACAACCTTACCAGCAAGAACTGCAGCCTGACGGGCAGGATTTTGACCCGTTGCTGCGGTGAACACCTGACCGACAATAACTTCATCCAATCGAGGTATAATTTTTGATTTTAGATCACTGGACTCGTCATACAACAGTTGCTGAATAACGATAGCGCCCAGCTTATGAGCAGGAACACCAGCCAATGAACCAGACATGCGACCGATGGGAGTCCGCAAAGCACCAACAATGAACACATCCATATTCCCACTTGGTTGAGCGAAATCGCCTAGAGGCATTGTTCGTCCAAGAGGAAAACTAAAAAAGAACGACGGGTACTATCAGTAGGGTGCAAAAATTGGATTCATAATACTCTAAGGGATAGACCAACTTGGTGAGAAGATAGAGAGGCAAGTCAAAGTCAATTTTATTCATCCAATGTGGACAGAATTTCAGTGAAAACAATGTTATCGCTTTTGCTTTAGCATTGCACGCTATTAAAAATGAGCAATAAAATATGACAAATAGTTACTGAGATGATAATGAATCGGACACCGAGAACGCGTAAACAAATAAGGAAAATGTCAACGTGCAACTTTACTTCAGACTGTGTATAAGTTTGTTTGCACTGTAGTGACCAAGCAACTCCTATTCGACACTCCTCATAAGATACAGCTCCATATCTAGAGATGCTTTTCAGCGAGCGTCTAATTAATATTAAATCCTTAGACAGTAGACCGGAAAAGATTACGGGAGACCAGTAGGTCCAATACATAAAACGCATGAGAAAATAAATTTGAAGATGATGTACAATGGTACCCTCAGATGCCGAAGGCGTGAAATATATAAGGTCAACTTTCTGATTTTATGAAATGTTTGTTCTACCATTTGAGGTCACCAGACACGAAACATCAAAGATATTTGAAGTGATGTGAACTTTCAACTTTTAAGTTATTGATTAGGATATCGGGAACAGATGATCCAGAAAGAGATGATGGCCTACGGTAAATGGAAAACTAAACTTCAATGCATTTATTAGGATTTAAAGAAGGGTTAACACCATCGGGCCATTCAGAAATGGAACTTATGGCTGATTGAAGGGGGTTAGTTGAAGGATTGTTGTTGTGAGATGCAACACCAAGTACTATATCATCCACATATGCAACTTGTTTTGCACCACTATTGCGATATTCAAAAGGAAACGGGAATTACAAAGGGTATGCGTCATTTACAGTCCAATATAAACATAGCGTTTTCCCCAGAGCGCACAATGTTGAGGTGCACCGAAATCGTCCTGGATATAAATCGTGCAGTGTTGAGATATGGTCTTTTGAAAAAACACGAAATAGCGAACAAGCTCATTTTCGATAACATCCTCATCTGGCTAATACAGTTATATAAATAGGTAATAAGAGGTAATATGGTCTTTTCTTTTGAAACTTACAACTTCGGAGGTTTGATAGTTTTATGCGAAAATTCGGAATGTTCACTGAAAATGAAACCAGCGATATCGGTCCACGAGAGATTTCTTTAAGATAGCATAAAAGACACCAATCACCTGCTTTTAGACGTTTACACTTCATCAAGTCTCGTCAGTAAGGGATACTAGTGCAAGTAAAAATACTATTACACCCAACCGAACTAACCAACCGACTAAGTTAGATGAGTCAACATACGAAATTCGCGTCCATGCACAGGTAAAATAAGAACGAAAAAGTAATGGGAACTGTACATTTGGAACATCTGAACAATTAACACACATCATAGAGACTGTCAAAGTAACGGACTTTGTACAGCGTTACCAAGTTATCTGAATTCAACTGGATGATTTTTTCACCGGCGGATGAGAACGAAGCGTTTGAATAATGGAGGAGTGAATGCTAGACAGACTGACTGGATCGTCCAAACGCGAATGATCGGTGTCAGTTGTCGAAATAGACGGAGCTTCGGTGGTACTCCAAGCCACCGATTGAGAATTACAAAGCGAAAGAGGGTTTACATGCTGAACACATCGAGCATCAGAGGACCAAGCGATCACTGGTTCGGGACAGGGACGCCCAGATCCATCACCTGCACATCGCTGCAACAAATACTGGAGGTCAAAAATAAGATACAATGTTATTCAACCAATCCCGTAGCTAACAAAGATATTAATATGAGATAAAAACAGCTAGCTCAAAATCAAAGCAGACTTGTAATAAAGGAACAGAGAGAAATGGAGTATACCAGAAATGAAGCAAGTGTACGCTTTTAGATAAATTCCAAGCGAATGATTCAAAAAGGGTTGAGAATATACTAAATCAGAAGGACTCATGGGTATTCAAGTAAGTGACCAACAATGGGTTATCATGTAGCTACAACAGAAATTCTGGTTCACGGCCCGTGATCCGCCTTGACAGACACACCTTCTGAGGCTGCTATCCGCAGGGAGATCAAGCCCTGTGATATCAAATAACGCCAAGCTCTAATCGTCTTACCGCACCTGTATTTAACGATGACGGAATAAACCTTGTTAGAAAATAGGTGGCTCTGTCTTCTAAATTTTAGAATACCGAATAGGTTCTCTCGTCGTGAGTGGGGAGGATCTATTGTTTTTTCGATCTTCAATAAGGGCCCACGTAGTGTTCACACCAAACATGGGGGGGATTAACCTGATCCCAATAGCGTCGAATCTGTTGGCGTGCGTCGTTGTTCGCAGATTGAGCGATACGCGTGAGGAGAGGGCATGCGAAGAACCGGCTGGGTTTCGCGCTGGTCATGGATGCTTCAGTCAATCAATCATCCACCGAAATCTACTAGAGCAGAGTCAGGCTTATGACAGAGCAACAATGATTGTTCTTAGGCATTCACACGGCCTTCATATCTATCGGTAGAACCGCACTATGGAAATAATGGTTTAGAGTACCTGAGAAGTAGGAGTCGATCCTCAGAGAATTGTATTGTCATACCACAAGACGAGTTAGGGCCTACGGTCAGCTTTCACCACCCTTAGTCATCTCCATTGGAATGCTACCAGGCTGTTCCATAGCCCAATTCCTCTTCTACAGGACACTTTGTCCGGTCTTGTAAACGGTGGAGTAGAACTCCTTCCAGGAAACACAGCTCTCGGCTCAGAATATGCTTGCGATATCGACTTGTTAGTTGAAAATACACAGGCAATCAAAAATACTTCGAATAACATGGTTTCCAGATTCGGCATGTGCTTTTCACCATCCAGACTTACCCTCGACGCCCTCATCCGAGGTCACAAATCTGGAACCACTGTTCACGGATATGTCACGAGATTGCGATCGATAACGCAAAGGTGGTGACGCGAGCTAAGGAGGAGTGATTAATTTTCGATGTTCTACGCTCGGTTAACTCGTTCAACTGACACGTAAAGATGGAAAAACATTACGTCGTACTAGCAGCACACGGGTGCACAAAAAGACGTCAATTCCATTATCTGTTTCTTTTTATTTAGGTTTGATGAGTCCTAGTGTGGACCGAAATGTGATAATAAGCATTTTACAACTTAGTATAGATCTCCATCCCCTCGTGATATATGTACATATATTTATTATGGAGTGAAAAGAATACTGACATAATTATAGAGGAGAAGGAAGAGGATATGAGTAGTTAACAAAGAACTTGAGAAAATTCCGCACAAGGATCAATATGAAGATTTACTGATAAGTTCATGGGAGGAGGTAGAAGAAGAACATCACTAATGATGACGAAGCTTGACGAAGAGCCGTAAAGTTTTTCTTAAATGAACGAGAGAAAATAGCTGAGACAATAGAGAATGATGAGGAGGATACTCATATGTTAATAAGGAATAACCGAATGCTTGGGAGTGAATTATCGGAACTTACGAATGTAGCAGGACTAACATCTCGGTTTACCCAGAGTACTCAGAATATGAGAAAAACTATTTTATACCAACTTTTAGGGAAACCAAGCTATTTAATAACAGTCACCGTAACACCGGACACCCCTCAATATATAGGGTTCAGCGGGATAGGATGAACAAGGAGTAAAATAGTATTTGAAATATTTGGTGATTTAAGATCGGGAACTGAGTGGGTGCCAAAAAATAGAGCACCAGTCTGAGTATCCAATGGACAGGTATTCAAACCGTCTTGAAAAGACAGCTATGGAACATCACCAGTAGTGAGCAATTAAAGGGTCACGACAGTACCTTGAAAAATCAGCTATTTACTAATAGACAAAGAACGTTGAAGTCCACCATTAAAATGATCACTTAATCATTACAAGGCATTAGGCAACCAAACAACATAATTCATGGGGATAATCGATGGACTGAAGTGAATACGGAAGAACAATCAAGAAATCAACAATTTTTATTCAAGCCACAGGCACTCGTGAATAGTGGTGTGGGATAACTGACATTGATTTGAACTGACTATCCTTCGGACTTTACCTTCACGCAAAATTCTCAGTTCTTCCAGTCAACTATAAATTCGGAAGAACTGGACTTGCGTGTCGTTCTTATTAGAGCTCAATAGTAATGGCTGACACAGTGGGAACTCACATCTTTCATGCAATGTGTCCGGAGTTTTAAGCCCAGACGGGACGGTGGATATGCACTACTGATGAGCTCTAACAAGAGCGAAACTCGAGTATAGTGTTTCTGAGTGTATGGATGACTGGAAGAAAAGTGGATTGTGCTTGAAGGTGTGATCTGAAGGCTGGTCAGTTCAGAGCAAAATGGATAATTAACGGACTTCACGGTGATCTAGGGATTTTATGGTGGAGCGGAAGAGAAGACCACATCTTAGGTAGACCTACACGTTTTGTAAGTAAAATCAGGATCACCATGCGGACCGGTAGAACAAAAAAGTGACTGACTCCGAATAGGAAGTTCCGCAAGATTTAGCTCTGACAAAGCGATTGAGAAAAGAGGACGTTTAAACAAAATATTGGTGGTAGACATTCCAGGTCACTATGAATCAGGGATGGAATGGATAGCGATAGAATCTTCGTCGAGAGCTATCAACATCTCTTCTAGTGGACTAGCACTATACTTAAGAAGCGCAGGAAACCTTGGTTTTTGAATTCCGAGTTCGAAAACTTGTTCGGAAAGCTATGAAGCCTGGTAGTTCTCCGTCGTCAACAGATGAGCCCAATTCCTTTCAGAACTAACTTTGCCATTAATTGTCTGGATAACTCCTGAAAAAATTGCGTGACTTATAGATGATTCCCGCTTGACATTAGACATAAGAAGGAAGAATGTAATCATACCCTTGTGGAAAAGCAGTCTAGTGAGAACCACGCAGGTCGAAAAGAACGCTTATGA